AGACACATTAGTTGACGTTGTCCGTGACTTAGATTAGTGCCTCCTTTGTCCACTCAGGCATCCAATCCTCCTTGCTAATAATCACAACAAGTGAAAAAACGTCAGAAGATATTGTGGTAGATGATGTCAGAGTGATTAATGAAGAGAATGATTACTAACCATGGTTTGGACATGTGTTTTAAGCCAAGCAGATTCTAGTACTTGTCATAGCTTTTCATCAGATACAATCCCAGATGGAGCCAAATTCTCACGTAGAGTGCCTTCAAAACACTGAGAGTCTTGTGGTATAATCAACATTTGACTCCTTAGTCCACTTAAACTAAGCGTACTAATATTGACCCCATCAATTGTAATCCGCCCACTAGAGAGATTGATCAACCTAAAGATTGATAGAGTGATAGTCAATTTCCCTGCACCCATTCTACCACAAATACCAACTTTCTCACCAGCGTTGGCTGTAAAGCTTACACCCTTCAAAACCAAGTCTAACTCAGGTCTATAACATGCTTCCACATTTTCAAAGCAAATTTCCCCACGACTAGGCCATTCAGGTTCAGGTTCTAAGTTTTGATTATTCTCATTCACACCTTCAGGCGCGATTTTAGAATACTCAAGTACACATTCACACGAGACAATATTCGTTTCCACTTCTGTCACACTTCTGACTAACCAATTAAGAGACTGAGTAATCGAAAGTGCATATGACATCAAGATTCCTACCATCCCACTATCTAATCCGTTGACGTTTGCAATGACCCCACTGACTGCTAATGCAGCAGCAGAAACGATCATTAGACTTCCGATTAACTCTAACCAGACAGCAAGCCATCTGTTGGATACAATTGAACCAAAATATGCTTCTTGGTTTTGGTCCAATCGACAATTGTTCTCACTAACAAATCAATTCTGCTTTCATCGTTGATCAGCTTCAATTCTGGCTTAGACTTTTACAGTTGATGACTAAATTATTGGTATCACTGACCTGGTGACCAAAAGCATGAATAGTAGCCAAACCGTTCAAGGTTTCACCAAGCATTGCGAAAATTGGTGATTTAGTAACGGTGTCGATCCTTTTGAGCTCACGCAAGGTGGCAAGATAATAAGATTGGATCTGTTTGTAGATCAATAATAGTGGAATACAGATGAACAAAAATGTTGGCACAGTCCAAGAGACCACCGCTACCACCGTAACCACACCTGAGTTGTTGATTTTAGTCAGTGCAAGTTTGAAAAGCTGGAGTCAGGGGATGGACCAGGCTGATCAAGGATCTTGTCAAGATGATTACTTCAGTTGAGAGAGGATTTGATGATGATCTATTGTGATTAACAGTGAAAAGCTGTAGAGTTCAAGTGATGGATTTGAATTAGTACACACAGATCAATACCAGTTGAGCGCGGCTGAGACAAACAGCGACCATAGAAGCCAGGGATGCAGCAGTGAGTGTACTCCGGCTCAGTTGCTCGGAGTTCGCCCATCGGTACTCAACATGAGTACCATTACACGTGAGTTACAGTAATAGTACCATACCCAAACCATTTTGTGCGTAAAGAACAATTTGATTTCGGTACTCATGCTGGGCCCGCCCGTAAGTACCGCGCGCTGTAAAAATCTCACCAAGTGAGTAGACTCACGCACACAGACAGAGTAAACTCATGAGTACTCTACTGAGAACTTTTGGTAGAGACACTACACAAAATGTCATCTTTACCGGGCGGTAAAGAAAACTACTGACATAGAAAAGTCCTGAGGCAACAGGAAGAGAGCTAAAAATCTGAAAAAATATGCACCTTGTTCCTAGATGTTGGGGCGTCATGACAAGTATTTTTTTGTATTTTACACACAGATATTGGTTAATGTACTAACAATAAAGGCTGAGAATCATCAAAAACCCACCTGTAACAATACCTGAAATTTGGCCCTTGACTTTGAAGACAGGATTTTGGAATCTTCAAACATCAATAACTTTTGCAGTTCTGAATCCAATCACTCGATTTAAAGTGCATTAAAAAGGTGAGCCTTTCCTCTACATTTTTCATTGGGACATCACATCTGTATCTGGTCTAAAAAG